CCCCTCCTTGGGTTTCCGAGGCAGTATCACTACGGAAGTAGATTGCCCCATCTTCCTTCCGAGGAGTGGCTGGTAGGTTTGAAGCGCCAGCCTTCTGGTTAGCAGTCAAGTGCCTTAGGCCCTACGCTACCAGAGCTTCTTGAAAACAGCCACAGCCTGAGGCCTTTCTCTTGCCCCACCCTCCTATGCCATTCCCTGCATCCTTCATCCCGAGCCTTGCCCTGGGCCAGGCCTGGTGCCCTGTATCCCCGGAGCAACCTCACAAACAGTTCCTATCGAGGAGGCAGGATCTGGGAGACTTAGGGATTGGCCTTTGTGCCGGGGCACCAGGAGGGTCCTGTAGGAGATGAGGCTGCATCTTCCAAGGTGAGGGCAGCTGGGAGCTGGTGGGTTTGCAGAAGGAGGCCCTGGCAGAGGAACTAGGTGAGATGTAACGTTCTGTCCCCAGAGTACCAGCTGCTGTGGAGTGGGGTGGGGAGGGAGGTCCAAGGCATCAGGGCCCCTGAGTCCGATAAGGGTCTGTTATAGGAACAACAAGGTCCTTACCCCCGTCACAAAGAGCCAATGATCACAACAGGTTCAAGTGGGGAAGCAGATTTATTGAGTATTGAGACCCAAGGAGACAGAGAGAATCCCTTCTCTAAAATGTCTGTCTCCCCAAAGCAAAGGGGTAACATGGTGACACAGGGACATGGGATGGGGGCTGAAGACCCCTGGGACAGTCAGGAATGGCTTTGTTCTGTTTCCTGGTTACTCCAGACCCAGCATCCCTCTTCCCAGGGTCGACTTGCTTCATAGGTTACAGTTCTCAGTCAAAACCAGTCATAGAAGAGGGCTATGCTTAGAAGAATGTACAATTGAAAATAACAAACCTGAAGAACTCAGCGTCGGTAAAGGGGCTGGCTATTCTATTTCTTTAAAAGAAAGCAAAAGGGAGGGAAAAATAGCCCATTAGTCCCTATGATGAATGTCGACTTTAACCGCGCCTGCCAGTCTGTTAAAGTTCTGTAATTTTCAGCAAGGGCCCCTGCGGCCTTCCACCGCAGCCTCCCACAGGTCCACTTGAGACAGGAGCAGCGGAAGGCCACCCCTGGGTTCAGAGGACAGAGGCACATGTCTTTTCTCCATCAGAGTGGACACTCAGGTTGCCCAGTAGAAGTCGATCAGGGGCCAGGGAGGGGAGGAGACGTTGGCCCCCCCCAGGTGCCGGGGAGAGACAGACGCAGGACAAACATGGGGTCAGGGAAGCCGAGCAGGGGGCCCCAAGTGTCCTCTGCCCCACTGCGTTACCCCAAAATGTGGGCCCATGCCCAGAGTGACGCAATTCTGTCACACTGTTCTGGTTACCTAGTGCCGCTCTAACAGAAAATACCACAAATGGGATGCCCTTAGCAAAAGGAGTTTATTCTCTTACAGTTTGGAGGCTCTAAGTCCAAGTTCAAAATGCTAGGCTCTAGGGGCTGGGTGAAAGCCTCTCAACCTTGGGATTCAGCTCTGCCTCCTGCTCCCGGCCCACAGAAGCTAGAGGCTTTTTTTTTTTTTTTTCACTCAGACAGCTGCTGGCTGCTGAGTCTGACAAAGCCAAGGTTAACAAGTAAAAAGGCACAGTCTCCATGTTACCAAACCACATGGCAGGCCATTGATTCAAGTCCATTGTAAGTCCCAAGGTCAGCAGAGCA